TCTGATATAGCCAAGTGTAATAACATGGACTTACAGTCTCAGCTCACAGGAGGCTGGAGCAGGAGGATCACTTGAGCCCAGGAGTTCAGAGCAGGCTTGGGCAATGTAGTGAAATCAATCCCCCTACCAAAACTACCAAAAATCAAGCAATAACAGTTCTGAAAACCTCTATAAAGTTCTATGAATATAAAGGCTGCACATTACATCTTTTAAAACACCACCAAGGAAATATTAATTCAAGTCTGCCTTAGGATTGAACATAAATTGTGCCCTGGCCAGCAATGACAGTAATTATCACAAAAGAAGAAAGCTGAACATCCCCCCAGAAGGAGGCTACATCAAACCCAGCAGGCTTCATTAGTGGCATTAAATGTCTTATTTGATTTAAATCAATTGAACTTCCAGCCTCTTTGGGTGGCACTTCAAGTGAATCCAGTGAATTACAAATGGCTATATCTATGACCAAGTACATAATGCAGATTTGAGCAGCTGGGCTCTTCTGAGAAAGCTATGCTGCCCAGAGCCCCTATGGACCAGCCAACAGAGAAAAAGGAAGCCTGACACAATCTCCTTGGCTGGGTTTCCCTTTCTAGAGTCTTCAAGGGAAAAATCTCACCCAGATTTGATCTTAGTCCCTGGAGATTTCTTAGATTTCTGCCCCCAGGGGACAAAGACTCTCCGGTTCTTTGTCTGGTTTTATGAAAACTGTGGGCCCCAGGTCCTGAGATATCTTGCAGATGATCAGGTCAAGGGACAGGCTGAGACAGTCACCAAAACAGAGAAGGCACATGGTAAAGGAACACATCAAAACTACGAACTGCCTTGCACTGGGCCTGCTCTGGCTAAAAGCCCAAGGAGAGGAAGATGAAAGGCCCCACAAACAAGGCTCTCTTGCCAGCACTAGCATATCAGCATCTGTATTTGTTTAAAATATGTAGAGCCAGAGAGAGTGGGGGAGAGTTTGTTTTCTCTCAGAACATTCGGAGCCAATTTCAGCACCCAGATCTTCACAGGAAAACCTCATGGGGCTCCAGGAGGTGTGAGTGGTATGAAGGGCAGAATTTCCTAACTGAACTGGAAATTCCAGTGATAACTGATATCGGATTGTTATTTTAGAGAAAAAGAGAAACTGCTATACACTTGAGATGGCAATGGGCAGTTACTGTTGTATTTATTCCATACACTGGAAATCCAAGTGCAGATATTTGTTTTAGCAGTTCTTAAAGTGAGATCCCCAGGCTGCCAGTCTTATCCAGGAGCTAGTTGAAGATGCACATTACTCAAGGCTCACCCAAGACCTAGGGACCAGAAGTTTAAGGATGAAAAACATAAAAATGGGTTTCACCTGGAGGCTCATTCTATAGGGAAGACATTCTTTTTTTTTTAAGACATTTTATTTTAAATTTTATTATTTTTGTTTCAGTGTATGAGCATACTGCCTGAATGTGTGTAAATGTGCCCATTTTGAGCAGTGCTCACGGAGGTGAGAAGGTACTGGATTCCCTTGGAACTGGAGATATGCATAGTTGTTAGCTGCCATGAGGGTGCTGGGAATGGAACTCAGGTCCTCTGGAAGAGCAGCCAGTGCTCTTAACCACTGATCCACCACTCCAGCCTGAAAATTTATTTTATTTTTACTTCTGTGTGCATGTGTGTTTGTGTGTTCACACACATGGTTATCTACAGAGGCCAGAAAAGAGCACTGAATCACCTGGAGCTGGAATTGTGAGCCACCTGATGTGGATTCTGGGAACAACACTCAGGTCCTCTGCCACACCAACTCTCAGCGACTGAGTCATCACTCCAGTCCTCAGGGAAGGCATTCTTGTGTATGCTCAGTGTGAGAAAGCAGAGACCTCCTCTAAAATTTACAGGCAGCAATGACCTGTATCCTAAGGAGAGCCCTGTCCTGCCCACTGGGAGTTCTTCAGGTAAAGGTGCACACTGAACCCTTGCAGACTCGATAGCCCTGTGACTGGCACAGTAGGAAGGAAGGAAAATGAGTAGGATTCTGTACTTGGTTAGACAGTATGCTATGCAGAGCTGTAGCTTCTCTCCCTCCAGCTGTGGCATCCAAAATTGTCCCTTGAGCCAAGGGGACTGAAAAATATCCCCTTTGAGGACTATTGGTTTAAAACTAGAGCATACTGTCTCTAGAAGTATAAAGTACATTAGATGGTTCAGCCTCTGAGTTCCACAATGGTCTAAGTTTATGTTGGGTATCAAAGGCTAGACAACATTCTCTTTTTGCCAACCTCTAGCCTAGAAGGCATATAGTGGGTAGATGACTTAGGTTTTACCACCTTTCTCCACCAAATCTTTTCAATCCATAGAACTTGTGGTACATCTCTGAGCTTAAGAATGACCCTCAAGGAAAAAAGTGGAGTTGAATGAATCTTGGGGGGCTCAGAAACCCAGAGGGAAATGTGATGCCCTCGAAAACCCATGAAAAATGCACATACAGTGTCTGAACACAAATATATATATATATATTATGCCTGGGAGCTGCTTGGCAAGGAACAGAGTGCCAGACAGAAGAGACCTCCCTTTGAGTGGTTGTTGAGAGTGGCTTGGGAGACTCCCAAAATAACACAGGCTATTATTGCCAAACTTCTTGATTATCTCTTAGAACTAGCAGATAAGGCCCTAATGCTGAAAACAAGACATACTTAGGGTACAGGACTTGAAGCAATAGAGCAGGAACTGACCTGAAAGCCTTCTAACGGAAGTTTGGCTATCATAATGCTAGACGATGATATGCAAACTGCAGCTATATAATTGGACTTAAAGTCTTGTCAATGGGAGTGAACTCATGGGTGATACTGTACACTCAGTCAAATACACATGGCAGGAGAGGACATAGATCCTAGAAAAAAAGCATATCTCTTTCATATCTCTAGACAAATGAAATTTTTTTACTATATACTAAATATCTATACTTGTATTTACAGACGAGCATACTGTACACCACTCATCAAAGAAGTTTCTTTTTGCAACATATGGAGGCTACTGCAGATTGCATAACTGGTCAGACACAGAGAACATACCTCTGAGAGACGCCCAGTAATACTATGCGGCACAAATACAGTTGAACCTCTACAACTAAGGCTCATGGAATATAGTGGAATAAGGGATAGAGAAAAAACTAATGGATCCCTCAACTCTCGCCAGTAAAGCTTCTTTATACAACAGACTGCAATGCACACAGAAGGCCACAACAGGCCATGTTTTAAAGAATAAGAGACTGCAGAGTGTATACCCTTGGTTAGGACTCCTATATTAAACCTCACCCACACATGGCTCAGGGACCACTATAGAAGAGGGGGCAGAAAGATTGTAAGAGCCAGGGCTTGTTCATGAACACAGGGAAGCAAAGGCTTTCAGGCCACTAGAAGCTCGTGGCAATTGTGGCACCATGCACAGGACCCATGCCAACTCAATTAAACAAGGGCCCAGAGGGGAGAAGAGAAATGGGTGGGGAACCGTCCCTATACTGAGAACTATTAGAGACTGATTGTTGCTGGGTGAGGGAGAGTATGACTTACATATGATCTCTAGATGGGCTGACTAGACTCCGGTGGACAAATTTACACTGAAGGACACCTGGATATAAGCGCTTGATTGGATAGGACTTAACATGTATGGTGGAATACATGAGGTCTGGTGGAGGGATGGGAGAGGCACAGATGGAGGAGGGGTCTAAATTTGATTAAGAACTGTTGCATGAAATTACAAAAGCTCAATAAAAATATTAAATTTAAAAAAAGGACTGCCCTCAGGGAGCTGCTGATCATTGTGTTGCTGCTTCCCTAGTCTGTGACAACCCAAAGCAAAAGTTTTATAGCTGATGCTGTCAGAATCCCTTAGTTTTCCAAATACTGTTTTTGTGACCAAGGTGACATTTCAAACTGTACTAAGGAACGATTTGAAAACAATATGGAGTATCACTTTTGCTTTGGGGTTATATCACCCATGAGAAAGCAGGGGAGTAACACACACACACACACACACACACACACACACACACACACATACACATATGTTAGTCACCCACTGACGCAGTGTCTTAACTCAGGCATGAGTTAAGAGTCACATCCATGCAGCCTGCTGTAACGAATTCCATCGCCACCTTTGACCTTCTCACAGTATCTCAGGAGCTACAACCCTTTAGATGGCCACTTCACAGCCAACTCCCAATCTTTTCAAAGGACATGGATGTATTTATTGTCACATTCATGTATTTCATAAGATTTAACCTGTGTAAAATATACAAACCTATTGTGTGTATTTGGTTCCCACCCCTTTTTTTGAATGAAGTATCATGGATGATGTTTTTGAAAACTGCATGTCAAAGCCTATTTTCCCCATGAGTTCTGCAGTTTTATTCCTCCTTTTTGCACATCACTGTGATTTTGAGGAGTACATTTGTCATGGGATAACAGGACCAGCTCTACCTTTTTCCCTAGGCCAAGTGTCACACAGTAGAAGAAAAGAAACAAGCCCTTCTTTAGCTCCTCCCTCTTTAAAAATATATTTTACTTATTTTTATCTTATGTGTATGAGTATATGGCCTGCATGTATGTAAGTGCCCATGGAGGTCAGAAGAGGGTGTCGAATTCCCCTGGAATTTGAGTTACAGACAGTTGCTAGTCACCATGTGGGTGCCGAGAATCAAACCTGGGTCCTTTGCAAGAGAAGCCAGTGAGTGCACTTAACTACTAAGCCATCTCTCCAGTCCCTTAGTTTCCCCCTTTTGACTTCACCTTCAGGCTGAATCTGGGCTACATCTACCTAGAAGCTTCTCCTACCTTTCCACTGGTCCCTACCTCTACTCTAAGTTTCCAAGCTTGGATTACATTTCCTTCTTAGTATACCCACTACAACTTAGTAGTATCATGTGTTAAGGACCAGTCTACCCCAGTGGCCATGAGTGCCCTAAGGCAAGACACAGTAAGTCTAGCCACAGTAGAAGTTCTCTCTTCCCTTGCCTAGCTACTTACCCACTTCGTGTCACCAGGCATTGCCGAAGCCCTAGTTTCCGAAAGATGTCCACCACTGTCTCCATGGGAGTAAGGTCCGTGACTGTGAAAGGACTCAGGTTCAAGATGCGCCGCAGCTTCAGTGGGTGTGGGCTGTTGGCTGGCAGCTCAGGAGGCTCCTCCGTGAAGTACATGATAGAATTGCTCACGATGCCCTCTTGTCTCTGTCTGGCATTCTCTAGAATGGGGTTGAGAAGAAAAGCAACACACAAAAATCCCTTACTTAACCAACCCCCATCCATCCTCATAGAGCATCTCAGAATCCCACAGAAGAGAGGTTCTATGGGCAAACTTCACAGTCATAATGAGAGCGCCAGCCAAACATCTGTGAACCTGGCATCCCTCTTCCATGCTGTGAGAGAGAACCCTGCTGTGACCAGAATGTTCTCTGCCAAAATTTTGCAGGATGGGCCCAACCAACATGGCCCTTTGGGGGATATCCACTGTTTCCCCTGGACTCCAGAGCAACCCAAACAACTGAAGGTCCCCCATCCTTGTTTTGTAGTCCACCTCATTATGGGCTCAAGTTTGCAGTGACAAGAAACCTCATTTTGCTGCCCAGTAACCTTCGCACATTGTTTTTTACAAATGAGCTTATAACTGGCCGAAATGGCATTATGAATCCTGGAGGAATCAGAAACCAATAAGACTTGCCCAGGCTCACAGCCCAAAAATGCAGCTCAATCCCAAATATGACTCTGGGGACCAAAGAAACAACCCAGAAAAGCTTCATCCCTCCACGTCTTGGATCTCCTCTCTTAAAAACATGCCATTTCATAGATTTCTCAAAGAAAGATAGTAAAACTGTTATGGTAGCAATTAGTCTATTTCTGTCTGTAGTAAGGGCCATATGAAACTGAAAGAAAGTAGGGTAACAGGAACTCATTAGAAATACAGCTTAATGCAGTGCTAGAAATCCAGGCTATTTTAAGTCACACAAGAAATAAATCCATCGGTCTTGAGATATTTCTCCAAGGCGATTTTCCTTCTGTTGGAATTTTAATCTTTCTTTTGGTTCATGGGAAAAGGTTAGGAAAAATGTACAGCACATCCTGCCTTAAAATGAATCTCAGTTTCTGTAATACAGTTCTTACCTTCTCAAAGACTACTATTCACCTATACTGTTCATTCAAAAGTCAAATTCTAACTGCCTCATCTAAGGCCATTTAGTGCAATAGAGTACTCTGATGGAAAGCTGGCAGCATTTGAGGTCAGGCTGAGTCTGAAAAGGGGGCTCTGTTGAAAAGAGGAAAGGAGGACCTGCTGGGCAAATGTGAGCACATTCTATGGGTAACTTTAAATCTAGTTATATCAAGTGGGATGTGTTTCAACCACACATACCTGACAACACTGATGTATAGTCACGTTTTCAACTGCAGATCCTGCAGGATCCACACTATGAGTTTTACACTTTTCTCTCCTAATCCAACAGAGTTCTGTCCTTAAGCTCTTTGGCACAGAGGTCACATTCAATACACACTTGCTTATTTTCACAAACTTGTTTTTTTTTTTTTTTCAATTTTATGCTGGAAGTCTCGCATAACAGGATTTTCATCCATTTTCAATAATCTGATTGAACATCAGGATTGGATCAAACCACAACCCCTAATCAAGAACTGATCACATGGTCTCACAAATCCCCTTAAAAAAAGACATCCAGCACAGCTGCCGAAATAAACAGCGAGCTCATATTTCCTCAGAATCTACTGATGGGGTTCAAAGCTCTTATTCTAACAGCCACATACCCAATGAACTCTTACTCACCAATGAACTCTTGCTCACCAATGTACCCCCATGCCATGAACATACCTAGCACACAACATCCACAAAATCTTTAAGATTTATATATGTTTGTGTGTGCATGCGTGTGTGTATGTGTGTGCATGCATGCGCACACGCACCATATGTATGGTTGCCAACAGAGGCCAGAAGAGGGCATTGGATTATCTGGAGCTCAAGTTATAAGTGATTTTAAGCCACCATGTGGGTGCCAGGAATTGAATTCTGGTCCACTGGAAGAGAAACAAGTACTCTTATCCACTGAGCCATCTCTCCAATCCCAACACAAAAAACATTTTTGCCACATGCAAGCAGGGATCTATTGATTGTCAGTGTATCTAGTATACCTGCCACATAAAACAGAGTCTAATTCAAGGAGGAGGCATTAGGTAGGAAAGCCCAAGGATTATCCACTACCAGGCAAGGATTGTAGGCATTAGCTGGGATAAGACGGGTATCTAAGCTGTGTTTCTTGCTGCTCCAGGTAAGAGTTGCTGCTCTCTTTAAAAGGGCTCTCCTAGGCCAGTTTGGAGTGGATTAAAAAGATTTTCATGAAGGGTTCAGGCTCTAGAGAAGGTGGTATTATGTACATATAGGCCAAAAGCTGATGAATTGGAAAACTAGTAAGAGAGTTCTTTGCAACTCTCTACTGGAATAAACCTCTTAAATTAGAGCAGAAATCTGAGCATGGAGGTACATTGGTGAGCAAGACTTCACTGGTTACTATAATGCTTTCAACAAAACCACCACACATCAATTCCCAGAGGAAAGACACTGGCACTGCCATCCCTGGACTCCAACTCCTAGAAGAATATTGGCATATGGGGGGGGGCACTCAAAAATATATCCAGTATGAAAAGGTAAGCTAATTCGTCATCCAAGGTGAGCTTGGGCTACAAGAGTACACTCATAGACTTCATGAACTCTTAGGTGACTGTCCTGGAAAAGAAACCAAAAATAACAATATAACCCCAAATATTTTTAGGAGACCCCAGTGACCTGAAGAAAATGCATGGAACACTAATCATGAGTTAGTATTGGTGCCTCTTTAGGAGTGGTGAGAATGTGGGTGCATTTTTCAATTTTTCCATTTGCTTCTTATTTTTTTTTCATTAACTTATGAGTGTAATTACTTTTACTTTAAAATGTAATAAAACTTCATTTTTAAATGTTTGAAAGTTTGAGCACTTAAATTTTTTAAAAAAATGTTTTAATAGAGAGGGCTTCATCATAATATTGTACTAAAACTAGTCTCCATAGACACAGCTCCTTTAAAAAAAATGTATTTTATGAGCACATGCTAAGGCTGTTCAACCTCACATTCCACTTTCTATCAGCAATAATGTCAGATGCAACAATGGTGATTAATACGATGTTGGTGAGATGAACTTCACATATTATGATAGGCCAAAATTTTAAAAGATTGGAAATAATCAACATTCAAGTAAGCCAGTGAGTAGTTTTTAACTGGGAGCAACTTGGTTCCCACTCTTGGGGTGCACTTCGTAATGCCTGGAGACAATTTTGGTTGTCACAAAATGGGAAAGGAAAGTGCTACTGGAGTCTAATGAGAAGGACCAATGATGCTATTCAACATCCTACAATGTGCAGGACAGTCTCCACCAGAGAATGATCCAGCTCCTAATATCAATGGTTAAGGGTGAGAGCCTTTAAAGTAACTGTTTTTAGGGAGGCAATGCTCTATCATCCAGTTCATTTAGAATGTTTCCATAAGACAGATGCAATTAATAAGAAAGGTTACATGGAAAATTGGAAGCAAACGCTCTAGTGGCATGCAGCAACATGATATGATTTAAAAACTTAATAGAAGAAACACAGATTATTTTACGAGTTACTATCTACTGAGGCATGGAGAAATATTACACATAGATCTCCATATATTTTTACCATTATTAGCAGAAAGTAGTTAACATCGCTATTCTTCATGAGCCAATTCCACTAATTAACAGTGCTTCCAGACAGAAATCTCTACTCCTACAGAGCTTGTCTGGCAGATATGATACCCTATCTTCTGGTTCAGCCGTGGATATAGATCCCTTTATGCAATTAAGCATCTTCCACATGCTGGAGAATCATTACTAAGTCATCCACCAGACCAAAAAAAAAATGAGTTTCCTTAACTCTTCCCCATAACTCTAAGTTTCCAACCCTTTAATCATCTTTGTGGCTTCCCACGGAGTCCTCTTGGAACCCGTACTTGCTTAATTGCAGAAGCCAAGTCTTGAAGAGCCTGAGCCCTGCTGAGTACAGAAGGAACCTCAGATTTGCACAGAGTAATAAGATGTAAAAGGCTGTTCGCCAGGAATTTGAACAAGGGTCACCTATGGCTCTGTGGGCTAATAATCTGTGATGTCTGAGAGGTGACTCTATCACTCTCTAACAAAGGCAATGGTTGTGCGCTGCCATTCCAGAGATGGATTACGAATAACAAAACATAATGAATGACACATATGTGTGAAAATGCCATGATGAAATCCACCACTTGATTTGATAACTTAAAATTGTTGAAAAATAAAAGAATATTTTTGGCTCCACGTGAGCAGCTGCAACCTCTAAATATAGAATGGAAGAAAAAAATCCTTATTTTCCTCATTTATTATTCTTGTTCATCACTATCTTGAAATTATCTTGCAAAACCTCTCCTTCTCATTCCCTTAAAAGTGAACTTGGCATGGGAGAGTTTTTAGCTAAATGTTTAATGTCCTATCTCTAATATTTATACAAGGGCATACAATTCCTCAACTACGGCTCCTGAATTTTGCCACCAGAACACAGCAATTCCTCTGTTTCCAAGGCTCAGGAAAACAGCCGGTCTGACTCGGAGCAAAAGACCTCTTGCCTTTCCATAAGCCATGCAAATAGCAGCTTCTGTGTTATTGTGGACCTGGCTGAAAGCAGAGAAGTGTGATTTACGCTGTGTGGTGCCTCTTCAGACATTCCAAACACAGCTTCTGAGAGTGTGCATGCTGGCAAAGCTTAAATTCCTTCTCCAACTGGTTGATGCCAATTACTGCTTCCCACTTGATTACAGTAATGGATTTCAGTAAAATTAGTAAGCTGTCTCTTAGCAGGTGTACCTGGAGCAGCACAATAGCTAATGGAGTCTATGACATTTATTACTTCGGTTTTTAAACACGACCTTTGCTTAAAAGACTTTGGGAATTGAATAAATTTTAAAGGCTGATCATTATATTATTTTAAAACAAACCCAATCCTACTTAAACAACTTTTTAATGATCTCATTATTTATAAGGCAATATTTATCCCCTAAAGGCACCTCCCTATTCCACTACTGGACCCACATAAAAAGAAACATTACTAAGTAGCCACATAAAAACTTGCCACAGTGTCTAAGATGTAAGTTCAATCTTTATTTGTTGGGAGCTACACATGAAAGTAAGAGGGGTGCTCCTTATTTATACCAATTTTTGAGGATCCTTTGAGGAAGGTGCTTTAAATATATTTGAAAAATATTTAGCATGGGGAAAGGGCTTTAGAAAAAGAAAGGAAGTGCCTGAGAAATAAGAACAAAGGGCCAGAGGATGAAATGGTGGTCTGGTGAAGATGTGTCCACAGTGGGGAAATCAGCAGTCATGCAAGTGGAAGAAGGTCCCACCATCACACTGAAGGAATACTCTGGCAGATGTGATGGAGAGTAACACTGCCCCACGGGCATGAGAGCTGTGTCAGAGGCTCATCTCCCATGCAATGCATGGGTACTTTGGCAGATGATGGAACAAGGCTCCTGATGGGCTGAGCATGGCATCTTCTATGCGTGGGAAGACAGACTACACTGGTGTTTATCTCTGCTGCATCATGAGATTCACAGGACTTCATTCCTTTGAGACTTGTTGTTTCTCCTTGCCTGGAACTCTCTCCACAACTCTTACCTGGATCTACCTCCTGCTTTCCTTTCACTGCAGCCATTCCTGGAAGGATGGATCCATAGGCTGGATTTCCTGAACAGTCTATCTTTCAGATACCCTATCTTCACATCATTGTGCACACACAAACACAATCTACTGAGTCCAAATACTGTTTCCAATTTGTACAAGGGTTTAAAGCTGACCATTTAAGCTTGGGTGACCTATCATGGTACTCGACAAAGTACATCCTGACTTAATAGTCTGGGACTCCTATGCTGATTTTAAGGCTATAAAACTACCATTAGTCTCTTAAGAAAAGGAAAGGAGAGCCTGCCTGTGCTTACTCACTTATGGCCAGGATTAGTTCACGCCTCTGGGCAAAGCCAATGAGGCGCTCGGAGTCTCTGGAGACCACCACCGGGAAGCCATTGTAGTCTGTTTCCTTGATGAGTGTCTCCACATCCTCCACAGTCATGCTGTCCTGGGTTAATACCGACAATGGTGGCTCCCCTCGTCGAGGCCGCATCACATCGGTGGCCAGGGTACGGTGGGTGAACTCATCCTTCACATCAAGAAATGGGTAGCCATTCAGATGGATGTGTGCTTCATAAATGCCTTCTTTCCCAAAGGCATCAGCCACCCACTTGCTGGTGACAGCTGCTGCCATCAGGGGTACGATATATTCCAGACCTCCAGTCAATTCAAACATGATGACCACCAGAGACACTGTCATCCTAGTTACTCCACCTGCAATGGAAGAGGACAGTAAGATTCCAAAGCCTATCCATAGACCCCACGAATATGTGATTCGTGCAAAGAGGCTCAACCAGGCTCAAGGCTCAACTAGACTGTCTAATGAGAGCCTTCAGTTCTCCTCACACTTGTTCCAAAGCGTCAGTCCTGCATACTGCCTAGGATCAGGCTCTGTTAAACCTAGCCTGATATCAGGGACCTGTGTATTGACTGACTGGAGGTTCTGCTCCAATAATGGACCCTGGGTGGTCTACTCACCCAGGTCACATGCCTGGTTCTTTGAAGAGTATAATCTATGAAGGCTATTCAGGCTTCTGACACAGCAAGCAATTCATAAGCCACAAAAAGGCAGATGTTCTTAAGAACATTACATTGGAGAAAGACAAAGCTTTGTATCCCTCGGTATTCAAAGACAATCTCAACCAACTCCTATTCCAGTAACCTTATAAAAGGATTTTCTTGACCTTAGTGCCTGGGACATTTGGGGCTGTGTCATTCTTTGTTATCAGGATCATCCTGTACTAGTGAGTTAAGCAGCCTCCACGCCCTCTACTCACTCCATATAATTGGTACTGCTAGCTGTGACAAGAAAAAAAATATGTCCAAATAGCAACCATAAGTGTCCCAAGGGCTCAGAAACACTCCTGGTTGAGAAGTCATACCTAGATGGTACAGTTGTAAGACAGTAAACTTTCCATTAGCCTGGGCTCCAAATGACTGGGCAGAAGAGTCTTCTGATAACTCTCTGTGTGTGTGTATGTGTATATGGGTGTGTATGTGTATGTATTTGTATGTGTGTGTGTATGTGTGCATGCGTATGTATATATGTGTATTAAAGAAAAATTACAGATTTTCCTTAGGCATTCTTGTTGCTAGGGTGGGTTAAGAGAGGGGTCTTCCAGCACTGGGGGACACAGGGCAGATGTAGGTGGACCTCTGTGAGTTTAAGGCCAGTCTGGTCTACATAGAGGGTTCCAGGTCAGCCAGGGCTACTTTATGAAACCCTATCTCAAGAAAAGGGAGAGGGAGGTTTTTTCCTTGATACTGGCTGTAGTTTACTTGTTACCAGAGCACGACCTAGCCTATCCAGAGTGAAACCAATAATCAAGTCCCACCTCTTCTTTCTTGTTTGACCCGTAAGGTAGATCAGCGCCTTGCCCTCACCCACACACCCTCCCCACCTGTGGCTGTACCTAGGCAGGCTGCAGCTCCCACCATCGCATAAAGCCCCGGTGTGACACAGTCTGCTCCAGGTCTGCACCAGTTCCTGAAGATGATCCAGTCGTGATGATGGTATGCCAGCTGCTCCACTCCAATTCCCACCATCCTACCTGCCATGGCTCCCACAGCCATGCTGGGGATGAAGAGGCCTGAAGGAATCTTGAGGGAGCACACAGAGAAAAGTAGCCTGAGGAAAGGAGGCTGAGTTCCCACCACCTATTTCCAGGGACACTTAGAGCCCCCCTCTACAAGCTTCCATTCTCAAAGGAGACAAAGCTCTCCAAAATAGGTCAGCTGGGAAAAGGTGGGACAAGTGATTTGACCTGCTTTAGTCAGTGGACTCCGCTGTAACCTGGAAAGAATGCAATTTGACACTTTCATTTCCTGTCCTTCAAAAGCCAGCCCCTTTGCCTGCTGTGCGTTAAAGGAAGATAAGCCTCACTGCCAATAACATTCCAAGTCAGCATCTGTCACCTGACCCTCACACCACTTTCCCACTCCCCTTGCTGTGTCATTCACACTGGCTTTGAAAATTAAATGTCAAGCCACAGCAGGAGAATGGAAAAGAAGGGCCTGCAACTGCTCCCAGGTAAAATAAACCAAATGTATCACTGTGGTTGCTCTGAATCTCCTATAAAGCGCTTTCAAAGACTTACTGCCCTTTTCAAAGGACGATGGTTGGACTTATGAGGGAGAAAGGAAAGTTCCCCCTTCCTGACTAAGCACATTTTTCAAGAGGCACTCAGATCATTTTGCAGCCCTGTTAGGGGCAGCAAAGAATGAGACTGTGTGGCCTAAAGGATGTTGGTAGTAGTGAGTTTTGTACTTTTCTGAATGCAACCGATTTTGACTTTGCTGGTGGGCATTTATGTGCTACCCCTGACTCCCTGAGTTCACTGAGAAAACACAAGCTTGTGAACCTCACAGAAGCTGCTCCTATCACCCCAAGTGGCCATCAAATCTGAGAATGGAAGCAAATCTTCAACTTCACTGAACTGAAGGTGGCCGCCTCCTGTGCGAGTTCTAGTCTGGAATGTTTCATAGGAAGCTGTCCCTTTCTGAACTCCTTTTACTTCACAGTCACTGAATGCCCTGTAACCTCAAAGTAGAATTCTCTCAGTAAGCACCCAAAAGTACATCTTCCTGGGACACAAAAACAAGCCCCTTTGCTAGGAATTGAAGGATCAGAGTGAGTCATCTCTTTAATGAAGTCCACCTATTTTGCACCTGAGAATTTGTTAAAAGGAAATATTCATATTATACCACACAAGAATAGTAATGATCCCATGTGTGTTCTATGAGAATTCATTAAGCTGTGCCCATTTCTGTATGAATGATATATTCTAATAAGTTTCTTAACAGAAATAATGGTACTATTCACAATAACCAAGATACAGAACCAACCCAAACATCAATCAAAGGATGAGTGGATAAACCAAATGTGAAGTATGCAAAAAAATATATACTACTTAGCCAATAAAAGGAACAAAGCCCATGCTACAACCTTCAAAACATGATTCTGAGTGAAACATGCCAGATACGAAAGCCCACATAGTCCATTCCATTTATATGGACTGTCCAAAATTGGTAAATCCACAGAGACAGAAAACATGTAAGTGGTTGTAAGGACTGGAGGAAGGAACAGAAGTACATAGTCTCTTTCAGGGAGAAATGAAAAGTTCTGAATCTAGATAGAAAATAATGTCTGCAGTGTACTGTGGATGTACTTAATGACAGTGAAATTGACCAGGCATGGTACTAGGCATCTAAAATCCCAGCACTCAGGTGTCAGAGGCAAGTGAATGACAAGTTCAAGGTCAGCCTGGAATGAATAGCAAGACAGTCTCTCTAAAAGAGAAAGAGAGCAAACAAAGCCTTTCTTTAGAAAGGGCTTTGAAGTTCTGTCTGAGCTGGGTTAGCAGTGTTTCAAAACAGAATGAACTAAGCTGTCTTCTCTAACAAAAATGAAACGTGCAAATAATATTATTCATAGCTCTTCGGGACATCAAGAGGAGATGTGTACAAAGATCCCATGTCTTGGCCCCAAGTGCGTCCAGACTAGGAAGTAGTAATTCTGTGTTCTCATGTTGCTGACAACAGCATGAAGGCTGATTACTACATGGTCTCTGAATGCTGGTTTTGCATGTACCACTCCAGAGCCACGGCAGCGTTCTGCATTGGGCTCTGTGTCCCTCAGACCTAGCACATTGCCTGGGATACCAGCAAAGCTCAATGCATTTTACTGATCAAAATGGACCCCAAAGTGGGCATTATTTGTCTATTGTCTGCTGTCACCCTGCCAGCAGGTAATCCAATTCTTACCATCTGGTCTGAGAAGTCAGTGAGGTGACTTGATGCTTAGCCCTGTCTCCCATAAACTCTGGGTTGGACCAGAGCTACCTATAGCTTCTTCATTTGGAAAATGGAAGAAAAATCTCTACTTCATAGTCTTGCTGTTTATTTAGAGAACAGTTTCCTATTGATTAAAAAGAGGTTAAACATATGAATGAGAGCATTCAAGAAAAGTCAGTGACCCTCTTCTTTGAATCACAATTCTATTGTGACAGGGGCTGTCCTCAAGAAAAAAACAGAGGAAGTAAAGGTTGAATGTTGGCAAGTACACATTCTTTTTGGGTTTTGATATATTTTTAATTTTTTGGTGAAGCTCACAAAACTCTGTGAATATACTGAAATCTATGAACTGCACATGTTAAATGGGTGAATTGTATGAATTACTAATAATATCTGAGTAAAATCTACTTTAAAACTTCAAAACAAAAAATGCATGCCCTCCCCTTTTCTTTCCCCTTCACTTACCTTCATGCCAAAGGTAAATATGGTAATGACTATTTTGAAGATCAGTGCTAAGGCCAGCTGCCACATGGCTGTGTAAACCCCAACCCCAGCTGGCCGGTCCGGAATGTCATCCACAGGCCGAGTCATATTGGGGTCGTTGATGTAGTCACAGAGCTGAGAGGACTCAAGGGCCCCACAGTCATTGAACAGTTCTGAAATGAGCTCGCTGGTGCTCTGGCGTGTGTAGGGATTGGGATAGGCGATGATGGCGGTGATGGTTGTCACCACAATGACCTCCAACACTGGGTATTTTCCCAGCCTGGTAGTTTTACGCCTCCTGCACCAGGCAATGTTGCAGCGGGTGAAGAGGGTTCCCCACAAGCCCCCAAAGACCCCAAGCAGGATGAAGGGGAAGAGTTCAGCCATGTACCAGGGTGTGTGATATTCCACATAAAAGAGAACCAGGCGACTATTCCCAAAGGGGTTGATGGAGCGCAGTGTGAAGGCTGCCACCAGGGCTGCGAAAAATGACCTCCACAAGGTCTTCAAGGGAAAGTAGTAACTGACCTGGGATGAACAAATAGAAAATCAGAGATTGGCTAGAGAAAGGGCTGCTTAGTGTCTTCCTCTTGGGTTAGCAGTCATCTGCTGGCACTTAGCATAAAAGACACAGTCTAAGACCAAAGGTAGATGCCACTTACTTTATCTGTTTCAGTTTTGTTGTGATCCAAAAGCAGCAACAAAGACACTTAAAGGAAACAATGTCTAAAGGTGGAATGGTGAGCTGAGGATACAGTTCAGTGACAGAGTGCTTGTCTGGAATGCACAAGACCCTGGGTTCAGTTGCTAATACTAAAATGTTAATAAATGACAAATGAATAAATCATAAAAGTGGACTAGCTACTAATCAAAATGGGTTCAAGCTGTTTTTTAAATTCCTTGTGAATTTCATACAATATAACTTGATGGTATTTAGATCCGCTGTCCTCTCCGTACCTCACTGCCCCCACCAAATATAATGAACTTTCTCATGTGTGTGTGTGTGTGTGTGTGTGTTATGGCTAGTCATTTACTCATATGAACTTACAGCAATGGTGACAGCATGCACAAGTCCTGTGCAAGCTCAAATAAGGCAAAATCCTACCACAGAGTAGGGAAGTGGGTAAGGAATCCCACATCCTAAGGAACTTTTGGCATTTCATGGCTGCTGGGAGGAGGAAAGACAGTGCCTTACAGCGATGGGACTCTTGGTGGGCCCAGTGGATGAACCTATATTGAAGGACATTTTAAGACACATGCTATGTTTTTAAGATAAATAAAAGAACCTGGCCTGGAGGAACATGCCTTTAATTCCAGTACTCAGGAAGCAGAGGCAGGTGGATCTGTGTGAGACTGAGGCCAGCCTATTCTACGGAGTGAGTTCCAGGACAGCCAGCACTACATAGTAAGGCTCTGTTTCAAACAGAACAAAACAAAAAACATAAATAAAAGGCTTGGGGTGTGGTTTAGTGATAGAGCACATTATATGTTCAAGTCCCAGAATTTTATCCTCAATACCACAAAGAGAAGAAAATTAAAATATGTACTCATGATACTGTTCATTTCACATAGTTCCTCCCAAAATCAACAAAGTGTTGAATTTTATCATATGAGCAACAGAACAGATCAAAGGTTGGAAAATTCTGGCCCACAAATCAACTTTGGCCCAAAAAACATATTTGCATGGCACACAAGTTGTTTTGTTTGTGAATGGTTGGAAAAGACAAAAAAAAAAATAGAGTCTGATATACTCATCAAAAAACAACAGTTTTGTGTTATGTGAAAATTGTGTAAAATTGAAACTTCCAAGACCATAAAGAAAGTTTTCAGCCACGAAAACCACACATAGTCATGGACATGGCTGCAAGGGCAGAGTCAATTTGCTGTGGGAGAAAGTGTGTGGCCCATGGAACCTACATAGTTATTCCCTCTCTCCCTTTTCAAAATATGTTTGCCAACCCCCTGGAATGATTCACTTAGGTTCCAAAACCAAGTAAAAGCTAATATGACTGTGAGGAAGAGAAGAGGCTGTAAATATTTCCAAAAAATGTATATTGGCAATTTTTAAAACAATACCTGAAAACCTATTAACAGCAGAAATTATGGTTCCTTCATCAACTACAAAAACATGATTCAATACTTTTGTTCTCTGTCACCCATCCACATATTTTTGGTCACTACAAATCATGAAAACTTATACATCTCACCTCCTCTAGACTGAAGAGCACACCTCCAATGGGCGCACCAAAGGCCACAGAGACACCAGCAGCAGCTGCAGCTGAAAGCACCTGCAAAGCAAGAGGGTAAAGGTAAACTCTGGGGACTTTGATATGTGTGGGATACAGGAGGGCCTCCAAGAGGATGCCTCCTCAGTGGTGGAGGCAGAAGGAGAGCCAGCTCACCTCACGCCTCTTGCCCTCATTCTTGCTGTACTTGGAGAAAAGGCTGCTGAAGAAGTTGCCACAGCAACATGCCACATGCACCAGTGGCCCTTCCTTCCCAAGGCTTAGACCAGAGGACACAACCAGCACGAGAGTGACTGTCTTGATTAGCAGGGTCCACTTCCCTAAGTAGCCTCTGATGATAAAGCCACTCAAAATGGTCTTTATCTGCAACAGAAGATGTAGAATGAAGGGGAAATGAATTACTGTGGTCCATGGTTAGGAATCAAGCTATAAAGGCTCTGAGCTAGACTCACTAAGTCACAGGGATGGGAAAATATTTCACTTCTTAATTTGACTAGAATTTTGTGTGAGCAGACATTTGTATTAATAGCCCTCCTACCCATAGGGATATATCCCAAGACCCTTAGTGGACACCTGAAACCTAGATCACACCAAACCAAATAAACACTATATGCACTCATTAGTATTACTGTCATCATACACAAAGTTAAGAGTCAACAGGAATGAGGGACCCTCAACTGAGGAACTTCCTAGATCAGACTGGCATGCTGGCATGTCTCTGGGGCATTTTCTTGATTGTCAATTGATACAGGAGGGCCAGCCCACTGTAGGCTGTGCTATACCCCAACCCACAGCTGGGCAAGTAGGCTGGGTTGAATAAGAAAGTTTGCTTAGGATGGGTCACAGGAGCAACCCGGTAAGCAGCATGCCTCCATAGCGGATGCTTCAGTTCCTGCCCTAAGATCCTTCAGTGATGAACTGTGATCAGGAAGGGTGAGCTGAAATAAACCCTTTCCTCCCAAAGTTGCTTTTTTATGTTTTTTTAATCAGAGCAACAGGCAAAGAAACTAGGAAACCATGTTAAAATTTAGACTCAGTAAGAGATTAACAACAGTAATTAATAAAATAGAACTGTGACAATCAGAATATGTTTCCGCTTCGTGTCATCCACCCACAACATTAATGACTTTTTCATTTGAATTAGTCATTTATAAGACTTTCGCAGCTTGAAGTGTATATCAAAACTATCACAAATTGCTTTTTATAATTAATATTCTTAGCATAAAACTGATGGCTTTCATTATGACAATTTTCATACATATATATCACTGTAGTTTGCTCATATTCCGTGCCCCATTACCCTTTCTTATTCTTATCTCCCCTCTCAATAGTCCACTTCCTGGTCCCCAAATAGCCATGCTTCCATTTTTATGTCATATATATCTAGATAGATAGATGATAGATAGATAGATAGATAGATAGATAGATGATAGATAGATAGATAGATGATAGGTAG